AATTAATATTTGGTTTTCGTAATTTATTTGGGAAAAATATATGTATTTTCAAGCATTTTATTATCAAACTCGTTTAATTGTAAGATTCTTTATTTAAGAAAGATTTTCTAGTAATTAGTCTGTATGATAGTTTGGAGATTAAAGTACTAAAGCTTCCTATAGATCGGCTTAGGTGGTACTAACTCTAGCTTGCTTGAAACCAAGATTTTAATTCTAAATATGATGCTTGGCGGTAAGACGTAACAATTCACCAGAATACCCTACTCCACTTTAATTTCTTTTGACCTGTATTCATTTTGAGCTTCTCCCCTTGGTAATTGGGAAGCAAATCTTCTTATAAACTTTATAATTTTCCTTGCGTACATTTCTTATTCTTTGCTACTAGATTCAATTCGGAGGACGAATTGTCTTAAGGGGGGGAGATTGTAGATACCCTCAAATTTTTATTTTTTAAAAATTATGCTAATTAAATTAAATGAACCGCAATCTGGAAATTAATAATTAATATTTTATGCAAATACCTGTGAGAAACCGAACACACGAAAACCGATTGAAAAGTCCGAAAACCAATGGAAAATCGATGATTTGGGCCGAATCGAACCCCGAATCGAACCGGGTTCGACCCAAATCATCTAGAAGCTCCCCTCTCCCTTTTTCTACACGCCTCATCTCACCTCTCTGCGCCTCTCAGTCTGTCGACGGCACAACTCCCCCCACCTGCGCCAGCTCCTCTCTTTTCCGCTTCTTCTTTCTTCTTTTCTTCTTCTTCTTCCTTTCTTCTTTCTTCTTCTCTTCTTCTTCTTCTCTTCTTCTTCTTCTTTCTTCTTCGTTCTTCTTTCTTTCTTTCCCTTTTTTCTTTTTCTTTCTTTCTTCCCTTTCTTCTTCCTGCAACTGGGCGTTTTTTGCTCGCGTCACTGCCTGCCCCTCTTCTAGCTCAATCCGCGCCACCACAGCCCCTTCTTGCTTCGATCGGGAGCAAGCGCACGCGTCTCACCCAGCTCGTCACGCCATCACCACCGCCTTAGCCGCCGCTCCAGTAGCGCCTCCGATCACCAAGCTTGCAGAAAGTCAACAAAAAAAAAATTATTATGGGGTAATCAAATTAATTTTAAATGCACTTTTAGTTAATTAATTTAATTTTTGATTAATGATGTTAATTAAATTAGTTTAGTTTAATTTTAAATATTTAGTGTGATTTAGTTAATGGTTAATAATATTAAGTTATTACTTAAGTTTAAATTATTCTTGTATGTTAATTATTAGTAAATATTAGTTAATGAAATAAATTTTATCTTTGCAATTAATGAGTTTAGTTAAAGTTTAGTTAAGTTAGTTTTAGTGAATGAAATTAAGTTAAATTGTAGTTTAATTTATTTAGTTAAGTTAGTGTTAGTAACTATTAGTTAATTAAATTTAATTTTAGCTATTTGTCAGTTATTAATTTAGTAGTAGTAGTTATGAAATTAATTTTTATTATTTGTAGTAATTAGTTTAGTTAAGTTAGTGTTAGTAATATTAGTTAATTAAATTAATTTTATTTGTAGTTAATTTAATTTGGTTAATTTAATTTGGTCATTGTGAGTAGTTAATAGCTTTATAATATGTAGTGTTGATTATAATTAAGGTAGTTTTAAAATAATGTTGATTGTAATGTATACAATTGGATGTGTGGTGATGGTTTGACGATTTGAAGGAGGATAGGGAAAAATGTTATTTTGATTAATTGCCCGATGGTGGGCCTTGTGTTGGTTTGAAATTATTAGATAAAACTGTTGATATTTTAACAGGTGGATAATCCAATTTTAGGGGGAGATGCTGGCCGAAAAGTGGTAGAAAATTAAAATTGTTTTAGAACTAAACTTACTTATATCGATTAAAGTTTATTCATAGAAATTAAAATATAGATAAGATTATCGAGAGGGATAAATAAACAGAAATAGAATTAAAACAAGAGGAACAGAATTTATATATAGTTTCAGTGAATTAATACCAGACTAAAGTTATTACGTTAGAATATTATAGTGATAATCATATTAATCTTATTATATTATTATTATTAAATCATATTAAATATTTTTGATTAGTAGTATACATAAAATATTAATTACAAATAATGTAGACGTTTTTAACTTAACGAAATAAATTAGAAGAAATAAATCAACATAAAGATGCACTATAGATATA